TCAGAGGAGGATTTTTGAGAAATCACGGGTCTCTTGATCCCATGGGCACATCATCAAGGAGAAAGAGTGTCCGATGACCAATGACACACCTCAGGCAGAACCATCTGAGCAGGTCTATGCCCCCCCCACGCTATTACTTCGAGCCTTATGATGGAGTCTTACCTCCTGGCGCTCTTCGCCACGTGCATGAGCATATTCAAAAAACTCCAGCGATGGAACAAGGCGCAAGACCGCCTCTGGTGACGACTCTGGTGATGACTCTGGGACGACGTGAGTAGCACACCAATGGACCACTACAATGCACCGTACAGCCACTACAATGCAGCATACAGCCACGACGATTCACCATACGGCTATAACGCTCCACCAGCAGGCTACTACATTACTTACCCTGACGAAGGCAGGTCTGGAGACAATGCCTTCAACCCTGATAACTAGCGAGGTACTCCACTACTTTCCATTGTATATACCAGTTTTTATTTTGCATTTTTAGCTCTCTTTTGGGTATCTCATTTAACTTAACAACATAGAGACTGTGTGAATTAAGTTTGGGGGAGGTACCAAGTATTTAATCACGTTTTTTTGATGATTTTGAGTCTCATGCATTGCATTGTACATACACATATGCATTGAAAAAACCAAAAAAAAATGAAAATTTTGAAAAACAAAAAAAAAAATCATGTAGGTTGCAGCACTTGCACTCTAGGAGAGTGTAGAGCATATAGCTTGCATTCACTTGGATTGGGAGAAATGATTTTAAAACACCTTGTAAAGAACACTTGTCAAGAGCTCAAAGTGACACCCTAGTTAGACATATCAAGTAGCTTGAGCATCTCTTGAAAACCTTGTACGCTTTGAGCCTTGAAAACTCTTCTTGAAACATGTTTTCTTGCTTGAAATTGACATTGTTCTTGAAACCAGCTCCAATCTGAAATTTGGCTTAATGAACTTAATCTCTCTTGCATATGGGCACTTGCATACTTGATCATGGATCTCATACACATTTGGGTTATCTTATTCCATTTTACCACTTTTTTGTTAACCCAAATGGTACTCCACACCCATAGTTTGAACCCAAACATTTGATTTTCATGAGTTAGGCCTTCTTTTGATCGCTTGTCATGTGCAAAATCTTGAGAGTACTGGAGGGGACATAGGATTGTTCTCATCTCTTGCTAGCATAGGAAACTCTTTAGAGCTAGCATCTAGGATGGTGAGTGGGTTTAAGTGTTCTAAAAGTTAATATCTTGGGTTTTGCATGAGAAATTTGAGCTAAAGTGTACCTTGAGAAAAGAAAGAAAGCCACTAGGGACCAAACCAAATGAAGAAAAGCTCTAGATTGTACCTAAAAAAAACCTTATCCTAAAAAAAAAAAAAAAAAAAAAAAGAAGAGAAAATGAAGAAAAGTTAGAGCTAAGAGTAGAAAGTGTGTGAAAGGTCCCCATTTGGTGGTGTAAATCATAAAAAAAAAAAAGAAGAGAGGGAAAAGAGAGAAAGAAACTTGTTCATTGGTGAGTGATATGAGTAAAGTCTATTTGGGATTATGAGATAAAGAAAAAGGGTTAGAACTTGTGATCACTTAGGAAAATGGTAGAATGACGAGGATAAGACTATGTATGCATGAGTTGCCTCTAGTCTTAGATAAATTTTGCATAATGATCAAACTACTTGTTCTTGAGTGATAGCCACCGAAAAAAATGATGCATTTGAGCCCACCTTTTCATTCTCATTAGACCATTCACTTACCTAGCCAAATGATTGAGATCATGTGCCCATTTGTGAGAATTCACTTTGTGTGTGTGTGTGTGTGTGTGTGAACTAATGTGAGAGCTGGTTTAAAGACCTTGTAAATTGAACAGTTTTGCACCTTGCTTAAAGGCATAAGAGTTTGTTGATAGGCCTAGAGAAACTAGAGTATAATAAGAGAGTATGCTCATGCTATTTGCTATGTCTCTTTAGGATGTTAAGTTGAGTTCTTAGATGTGTTTCTTTTGGTTATGAGCTCCCACCTTCAAACCTCTCTTCCCATAAGTTCTAGAAAGTTCACTTGAGGACAAGTAAAGAACAAGTTTGGGGGAGTTGATGTCTTCAGTATTTCCATTGTTTTATCCATTCATCCATATGCATTTTGATCATATAGACTAGGATTTAGCCATTTCTAGATTGCATTTTGCATACATGAGTTCTTATCAGGTATTGAAGTATCCTTGGAATTCTTGGAGGTAATTGTATGGATTTGAGGTCCAAAAGAGGAGTTAGAAGTGATTGTTGTACGAGCAGAGGCCAGAGCGAGGTCCCAAATCGGCTCCCTGAAGTCACTCCACACCAGAGCGACGTCCAAAAGCCGCTCCACGAAGTTGCTCCAGTCCTTGAACGAGAAGCAGCTAGAGCGACCCATCAGAGCGACCTGTCGAGGTCGCTCCAATCCGAAGCGACGTCTTGGGAGCGAGGCTTCTTAGTCTTTCACCTTTTTATCAAATTTGGAAGCCGAGATGGCCTTGGAGAGAGGTCTCAGAGTGACTTGGCCAGGTCGCTCCAGCTCCAGAGCGACCTGGCCCGGTCGCTGCATGTTTTGTTGTGACGAAAACTTGTGTTATTTTAAGGATCTTTTGGTCATTTTTTTTTTATGTTTTGACATTTGCTAAACCTAAGTTAAGTACTCTGTAAGCCTACCAGGCAGATTCATGCTTGATTTTGAAGAGAAAAACACAAAACCCTCTTGGAAAGTTCATCTTTTTGAATCATTCTTGTTGTTATCGTAATCATGTTCTGTTTCATTGCATATTCCACTCATCTTATATGATTAAGCTTGAATCCAGTATGGGTTTAAGAGGAATCATGAAGATTAGTGAGTAATCCACCTTTGAATTCATGTGATAGGGAGACTAAGGGTGATTAGGCTAGAACTAGGATGTTTAGTGTAGGTTTCTCTTATTCCTTGCTAGTAGAGTATTCTTAATGCATCTTTTGAGTTGGCCTCTCAAAGGTTGAGCTTTAGGCATTTCCCACCTCACAAGGTGTTCGATGAAATGCTTGTGCCAACTCTCCTAAGCTTTTAACACACTTTACAAAACACATTTTTTGTTAAAGGTGTTAAGATAGCCAATAGACTTGTTCTTAAAGATTACTTATGTAAAATTCAACCGAAGACATTTGATGTTTGAGTGTTAGTAAATAAGCATTCATCTAGACATAGAGCTTACTTAGAAGTGTGTCTAGGCTTAAGGTTGGTAATTAAATTGATTATTTTTCATCCTTAGTTCGAATTTTGATCACCCAAGGTCTAATCCCTACTCCCATGAGTTCTCCTTTCTCTTAATCAAAGAAGTTATTTTAGTATTCACTTTTCTTATTCTTAGTTATAGTTTAAAACCATCATTTATTCGATTGCACTTAGATTAAGTGAGTACTTGTATTCTCAGTGCTTTAAAATCCCTTAGAATTTGTTCGACAATCTCTTATACTACAACATTTGTCTTAGGAACCTTGAAAACTCATAACTTCAATCATGCCGATGAGTTATCTTTGGTGTCTCTCCAAGGGAAGACTCGATTCAGGAAGAAAACTCGCAAGAAGCAAGTGATTCACAAATGGTACAACCTCTGGTACCACTTCACATCATGAAATGTAGCCATTCAGATAAGTTATTGAAGAATGCTTCAACTCATATGGTATGAGGATCAACAACATGCCATACCAGAAGTTTTTGAGTCCAACTGTTGATGCTTTACACTCAAGAGTAAGAGATACACTTGTATTAAGTCAATATATCTGCCAACAGTGTGTTGGATGATTTAACACAAACTTGGGCATAAGAAGAAGCAGAGAAAGTGATTCACTCCAACAAGTCATGCCACCATTTGAGCATCATCTCTTTGATCAGAGGAGTCTCATGTACACATATATTTGTTCAGATGCTCAAATTAGTTTGATAAAAATGAACAGGACTTTTCAGACATTGAGAATGAGGAAGCATGCACACATGTCACGGTGAACTCGATGATTAGTTGGGCTCCTGGAGGTGTTATACGACTTGACAAAGATTTGGATCATTTGAAGCAGCTCAAGGAAAATGGTCATCATACTCATCACCAGTTGAAGAAGCAACAATTTCTCAAAGCATGGCACCTAAAATACAAACGATACAGAACTGAGAACATGATTATGGCAGCTACCCGATTTTGTGATGCAATCAGAGATTGATAACCTGAAAGAAGTGTATGAGTTTTCTCTGGAATTGCAGCAGGAAGTAGTTTTTAAGAAAGAACAAACTCCTGCAATTGTTCACCGAATGCAGTCTTATTTTATTTTCCTTTGTTTTATTTCTAAACTATTTTTTTATGAACCCTGGTCATCTGTCTATGCATTTATCTGTACGAGTATTTTCTATCCATTAGTTTGAGAAATTGTTGACATTAGTTACAAGGAAAATGATGTGGTATAGGTTAATGGCCAAGTTTTATTTCTTTTTGCATATTCATAGTGTAGATAGACAAAACCCGTAAGAAAAAAATATATTGACCAAAACTAGTATTTAAATCACCTAAACAACTTAAAAATCTAGACAAGATATCTTATCAAATCACCTAAAGATTTTTAATTTGTTTTAAAATTTTCAACAAAATCACCCAAATAACTTTAAAACTCACCTAAATCTCATTAAAATTCAAACACCCTAAAATCTTCTAAAACCATTTGTTCAATACACCCCCCCCTAAATGTATAAAATCACAACAGTTAGATTCCGTATATTTCCAGCATCTGCATCCGCACCAATCACGTCTTTCTTCTTCTAATTTATCTTTATTCGATCGCTGTTTAAGCCTTTACCTAATTTCTCGCAAAATTATTGTTATTTACTGTATCCACTTTTGCTTTAGTTGCTGGTTTTTGTCCCTCCCCCCCCCCCCTCCGAAACGTCATTACCTACGTATTATTTAAAATTTGCCTCTATATATATTGTGACATCTCTGGTCATTGCTAATTACATGCAAACAAAAATGGATAAAAGATGGAATCTTCAAGGTATGACTGCTCTTGTGACAGGTGGGGCGAGCGGAATCGGGTTCGCTTTTCTCTTTTACCCATTGTGATGCTTCAAAATAACATTTTGAATTTTAAGATTTTAAGAAATTTATTTTTATGGAATATTAGGTATGCCATAGTAGAGGAGCTAGCCGGTTTTGGAGCTAGAATTCATGCATGTGACATATCTGAAACATTGCTTTATCAAAGTTTAAGAGAATGGGAAAAGAAAGGGTTTCAAGTGACTGGTTCCATCTGTGATGTATCCTCTCGTCCCGAGAGAGAAACACTTATGCAAACCGTTTCAACTATTTTCGATGGCAAGCTGAACATCCTTGTCAGTATTCTTTCAGTTTCAAGAAACCAAAAATATGCTTTCTAAGAAAAGTAGAAAACTAACTATTAATTAACCGAATAAGCAGTGACACTTATAGTAAAACTTTTGCTACTCGTTCTTTTTGTTCCACATAGGTGAACAACGTTGGCATAATTTGTTGGGGAAAACGGGACACGGCGCAGCGGAATATGTGTTCAAGTTCCCCTGACTTTGTGTGAATCTATGAGGAAAATATTTCGATGATAGCAGGATATAATATAAGCGATAACTAAATGAGACCAGCACTTTTTACGTGGAAAACCTCCTCGATGTGAGAAGGAAAAACCACGGGACCGTAGTCCACTCAACAATCCACTATATAAATGTATGTGAGTACAACCACGTCCTCCCTGTTCAACAACCTGAACAGAACAGAGACTCTAGCTACAAAGAGCTATCTCAACACAAGAACAACAACAACAACAAGAGAGCAACAAGAAAGCTTCAAAACCGGCAGCAAACAAACGACCTCAGCTCACAAGGATTCCGGCAACCAGAGACTAATCTCACCGTACAAATCCAAGATAAACAAGTCAACAACACCTCAGCCAAATTTCAGCTCAAACAGAGAAGATCTTACCGTCGGATTTACCAAACACTCAAGACAGCACTGCTGAAGAACTGTGACGACCAGCTTCACGAAAACTCAGACAACAGAAGATCCAACTGTTGAAATCCAAATCCCTTCGGTGAACCTTTAACCCACTGACTGAAGAAGCTTCCCACAAAATATCAGCTCAAAAGGAATCTGTTTGACCCTCCAAATCTGCCTTGACAAATCCAGACGAAATTCTGCCTCTTTCTCTCTTTTGTCTAAAAACTTCTTTTCTTGTCTCTCTTGTGTATCTCTAAAAATCTTACCACAAAATTAGGTTAAGAGACTTTATATAGTGTCTCACTAACCCCAAAGGCCCAATACTAATCTCATGGATAAATATCATTGGCCCAACATCCAAGTTTGGTTATCACCAACCAAACCCAATGAGTTTCCTCCATCTAGAAGAAACCCAACGAACTCCCCCTCCGACTAGGTGGAGGAAACAGCCATTCCGGCTATCCCTCAGCATACTTCAAGCTTCCCCCTCGGTAAAGACTTTGTCATCATATCAGCCCCATTATCATCCGTATGAACTTTCTCAAGTTTCACTTCCTTAGAAGCAACCACATCTCGTATCCAATGATACCTTCTCATAATGTGTTTCGACTTCGAATGAAATGTAGAGTTCTTACCGAGACAAATTGCGCTTTGACTATCACAAAGTAGCGCATACTTTTCTTGCTTGAAACCGATCTCTTCACAGAAGTTCTTCATCCACAACAACTCCTTACAAGCTTCAGTTGCAGCAATGAACTCTGCCTCAGTGGTAGATAGTGCAACGCACTTTTGCAGCCTTGACTGCCATGCCACAGCTCCACCCGCAAATGTTACCAA